GATCAGCCTCCGCTGACAAATTTATGGCTTAGAAAAAAACGCAACCGCTCGAACAAGTGTTCGACAGCTGCGAAGAATCTTCTGGATCCTCACACACACACACACAGAGAAGAGAGAGGAGAGGAGAGCAAGTAGAGATGAAGAGAGAGAGAAGAGAGCAGGAAGACGAGCCCGCAGTAAAAGAAAGAATTCCTCCCTTGAAAATTCTGCTAACCTATGCAACCCGATGGGCGAACTTCAAATTTAAGACGCATTTAGTTAGGCTATGGGACGTCTCATCGAGGAAGGGCAGTCTGCAAGGTCGAAAACGTTTTGGAGGGTAACGGAGGTACTTGGACGCAAGAGCGCAGAGAAACTTTACTTAGTTCAGTATCTTCAATGACACATTAGCATTCAGATTCTCGAATAGAGCTTAGCATTCAGATTCTCGAATAGACACTTACAATTCAGATTCTCGAGTAAGCACTTTAAAATTACCGCGGAGGTAACTTTGGCGGGAGATGGCAACATCCTGCGTCACTTTCGCCTAAGATTATCTGCATCCCTGCCTAGTGCCATATCGGGCCCATTCAAAGCCCGCACTAAACTACGGCCAGTACCGGTGTGTCCTCAAGACCTGAGCCCGCACGAGTTGACGGCTCCGTCGCGCACACACGCTGCCAGCCGAGGAGAACACCCAGTGAGAGTCGGTGACCTGAGGCCGCCCGCCGTCTTCGAATGAGGACCCATCCGGCCGGTCTGCGGAGCACCGCCAGCCAGTGAATAATCCGGTATTTAACCGAAGTCGAACTATCTCCCGTAGTTATGACCGGGGCTCAGTTGCAGACATTTTGACGAGAGACTAAGAGTGCCGCCGGCTCAGGCCTTGTGTATTGTTAAAATTATGCATGAATCATTAGAAATAAGTTATTAATGTTAGTAAGGAATTTGTTCATTAACTGTTTAGTTATACTTCGTAACATAAGTTTAATAAGTAATGTGTCGCTCTCTAGTGACCTGTAACTTCCCTGCACTCATGTGGCAGGAGAAATTGAATTTTGTCAGAAAACGAGTCAATGGACTGATTTTTGACCTCCCTTCACTTCCATCCATTCGTCACAGAACTGAACCTGGCGCCCGACATATCCCGAGAAGTTATGGGCATTACAATAGCAAAACAATAAATTAATTAATTAATTAAAATTCTGGTCCCCTGAGGTTCCCAAATGTCCAAGTTTTACTGCATGTAAACCATTGAACAATATTCCATTCTGCAATCAGTTTAATATTTATCTATTTTATGTACTCAATTAGAATTGTATTGATTTTACATGACCACAGAACGTCACATATCAGTCTTCTTCTACCAATTAAACTTGGTGTCCCTCACACCTTAATTCTCTAAGCAATGTTAAAATGAGATATTTTTTAAAAAATTTGTGAAAGATGTCTTTAGCTCTTATATTTCATGGAATTACTGGTATTGAAAGCACCTTTGACACAATACTTGGAGAAGAACAGAAAGGTTTCAAAAGAGGAAGGAGTTCAAAAGATGCAATATTTACATTATAAAAAATCCTGGACTGACAACAAAGTGAATCTACCGAGTTACTTAATATTCATAGACTTAGAGAAAGCATATAGTGAATTAATGTGCCAAATACTAGAAGAGAACATGCCTATAGACAATAGAAAAAGGATCCAAAGCCTCTACCCTGACTCACAGATTAAGATAAAAATGAATAACGTGAATGTGTCAAAATCTTTCACAACAGAGGGTTTATACACTGATGTGGCAAGCCCCATGCCTGTTTAACACATATGCCAACAATATAATCAAGGAATGGAAATAAACTATAAGAAAGTGAATAAATATCAGTAAAAGACACGGTCCAAACAATCTTCAATGCAGTTAATATAGTCTTAATCATGGAATCAGAAGATGGCCCTCAACTGCTGAACGCAGCACACAAAATGTATAGAATAGCACAGAAACATGGAAAAACGGAAAAGACAGAAACAGTTTAAAGACTAAAAATTTAGAAGAAATAAAGGATAGAGAGAAAATGGCTCTCTCACATTAACAGACTGAAACAAGAAAGACTCCCAAAAGCAATGTTGAAGTACAAACCAATAGGGTGAAGGGATAAGGAATACCACAAAAGAAATGGCTACATAAGGAACACCTGGAGGTGGAGGTGTTCTGGTCTACTGGGAAGCAAGAACAGGTATAGCAGCCTGCAGTTTATGATGAACCCTTTCATCCGGCTGGTGTAATCAAAATATTTACAAACATTCTTTTCACATATGGTTGGATTTTTTATGAGTTAAAATATCTTCCTCTACAATAAATAATTTAATTTTCAAGAAATTATCTTTTGAGAAAAGAGAATAATGCTGTGCAAAGTCACCAAAACCTGAAGGTACATTCTTACAGGTTCCTAAAGATGATGATATGTAAGGAACCTAGAGATATCATGAACAAAAACACAAATTAATTTTTGTAAAATATTATTTTTAACTATTAAGATTAAATGTAAAGTTAAACAGAGATATGAGATCAGTTCAGGTATATGAAGTTATTTGCATATCACAAATTCATTACTTCTCTTTTACATCAAATGCTTTATTAAACTAAAAAGAGTTGAAAAATAGGATACACATCGTTAGATATGTCAATACTTGAAAATGCATCAGTCAGATGGGATACCCTGGAGATTAGGTTAGATTGAAGAGTTAGAAAAAATTGAAAAGACAATCAATTTCATGAAGGTTCTTTGGGAAGTTCTTATCCACCAAAAACTGCAGAGGCCCTTAGTGCACAAAGAGAAAAAGGCCTGTTGTGTTACCTCTTCAAGGTGTACAGTAAGTCACCACAGTGGGTAGAAGTAAGCCTGGACTGGACATCTCTTTGAGAATTGGGAAGATTTGATATTGGGAAATTTTCATTTGTTAATAGTATGATTTAAAATTGAAATGAAATTCCTGCAGCAATCATGAAACTTTTACTAGACTTTGTGTTTTCAAAAAGAGACTGAAGAAGTACTTGTAATGAATGTATTCTACCCCTTAGTTCAGCTAATAAAAAATTCATGTGTCATGTAATGAAGTTTATTGCAGTACAGTGTAAAGCTGTACCAACAAGCTTCATAAATTACCTATATGACATAACCAAAGAAAGATAATGTGAAAGTGTAATATAGCATTGTAAAGTGACAGAGTAGGTGGGGAACTAGTGTGGATGTGTCAAGTCCTGATTTAAAAACTCCACACTGATTCTATACCATAAAAAAATTGTAGAACTGTATTTACAGCAAGTGTGTAAATGTACGAGATTATAAGTGTGTAACGTACATGAGAGTGAGCATTCATGTATAATAATGTGTGTGTGTGCGTGTGTAAGAATGTATGTGTAGGTATAATGGATACACAAACTCTTATGTATACAGGTAAGCAGGCACATAATCAGATGGAAGGTAAAATTGTATAACCATGGTCAGTAAGAAACGTACTTACATATATGTGGATTTTAAAAGTTTTCTTGATGACAATTTGTTTTGTGTGGGTTTCTAAAGGCAGCTTTTGAATTGTCCCATCTTTTGATGGGCTAGTAATTTTAATTATCGTGTTGTACTGTATATTTGTTTTGTATATTAGATTATCATAAATTTGTCGGTCACAGTTACCACCTGGCAATCAGCCAATTGTAACCAAATAAATGTTAATATTATTATTGTTATTATTATAAATACACATCTGACCAAACTCCTTTGCTGTTAAATTGTAACTTCTCACTCTATTTACATCACATCTATTCCTTTCACGAGCAAGTCATTGGTGTACTTGAGAATATTTTTGTGTAACATTACCTAAATTTGTAGAAAGGACACATTAATTAAAATGTTTAATAAAGATGACATACTGGGAACCTAAGGTTGAGACACCTTGTCACCTTCAGAATCTGGACCAATTCAACTAAAGACCCCCTACATATAACATTTTATATTGTGTTAATATGTAGAAAAAATACAAAATTATAATCAGAACCTAAATGCGACCTCAGTTATCCTTAGGTACTATCAAATATTTGAGAACCCCCTCCCTTTAATATTAATTATCAATAAGTAAGGATATAGAACACTTCCAAATTCTTTCTTTGTTAACCCAACACACCAATACTATAAAGAAAACTAATTTTATTTTATAGACTACACACAAAAAACAAATTTCTTAAGAAATTCAAAAGGATTTAAAAGGATTACCCACTCAACTACACATGTTCAATTATATGTCCATCAAACTCAAGAATCAGTTAACTGGAGTTAATTGTTGTCTTGTCCTCTCAATCTAAAGGGTGGACTACTACTGCCACCTCTTTGTGAATCACCCTAACTACTAGAATGCTCATTTCCTACACAATTATCCTTGCATGGCAGCTTCAGATCATCTGTCCACATTCGGTGCTGTTATAACTACAAACATAATCGCTTCAAATGAATACCTATTTATATCTTTTGACCAACTTTCTAAAAATTCTACAATAATTTTACTTTTTATTGATTTATTTAATTTTTAATGACATTTCTTCTTCGAAAGTAATTCCATCACCTTGACCTTAACAAATAAATTTTACAGACTTTCCCAGATATATTTTTAACTTTTTGTTAAGCATTTTGTACGTATCCAATGAATCACAACTGTCAATTTCGGGCAATTCAATACTGGCTAGCTATACCAGTGGCACTAATTGAACTCCAGTCAAATGTCCTAAATACGAAAGGGCACAGCGAAACAAACTGATACAGCACTACAGAACACTAGCACAAGCTACTTCATGCACTGGACAATCTGGAACTACACAACTTAAATGTTGTCACACATAACTTAAAAATGCACATTTCTGATTCCAATTTGTAATTAGAATGAATATGTCACGCTAAGAGTATAGTACAGTATAAAATTAACAATGCACAATTTTGGGCAATGGTGTGAAATTGATATGATATTCAAACTTTTTTTACCTGGCAGAAAAAGTGTAGGAACAGCATTTCTTTTTAACCCTCGATGTAATTCTTGACATTTACTTTCTTCGGGGAAATGTCGATTACAGACAAATAGTCTGTTGGTACAGTCTTGCATTGTTATCCCCGAAATCAATGGATTACCACAAGCATTCATCCATCTCGCCCACAATTCTTTGTCGCTTCGAGGAAAGCGATGTCTCTTATTAACCCAATCAACGCACCCCAACACGGCACATTTATTTTTTTTTCTTCGAGAAATATTAGCCATATTTCAAAAGCGTTTATGCAGCACGACAACCAAAAAATAGTATCACCAGGCTCAACACAAACCGTACGCGCACGTGCTTGCCGGGAAATTTTGTATTTTTCAAGGAGTGTATGTTGAATACGTAGCGCTCTCGGTACACTCGGGTACATATCTCTTGGCGGGTGAGGGCCATAGAGTAGAGATATTTCTCCTCTATGGTGAGGGCCTGCCTTCAGGACGGAATCTCTCACCAGTCGTCTGACACTAGTTAGGCCTCTGGTCCTTGACTCCTTATTCCAATCCAGTTCAGTAGCCAGACTTCAAAGCGACGCCATATAAACCTGTACAACACCAACTCGCTCTGCCGGTGATTCGGTGAACTACTCATTTTGAAATTTCTCCGCGTTCGACCCGGTTGATTACCGTTGGATTCCTTCTTCGACGACCGAACGGCGTTGCGTTCACGTGCTCATTGTGGCGCCGTTAACGGGAGTCAGCAGCCAGTGAATTCAAGAAAATCTGTGATTTACTGCTACGATTAAAGTCTGAAGCGTGCATTATGGCTTCGAGAAGATGTTGGGTGCCCAATTGCACAAATGCGAAAGCGAAATTAGCCATTAAAACGTCTATTTGGGTTTCCAAGATATGTGAAAAAGTAAGTTACATTTTTTATCTTTCATTTTTATGCATATAGTTTATCGATGAATACTGCTTCTTTATTATACTCCTTTTGTTGAATGCCTATAAAATTAATGGCTGCCTTTTGATGGTGACTGTAAAATTAATATATTTTTATTTAGATGCAGAGAATGGCTTAAAGCTATTGGGAATTCTGCTGCTCTCCAAATTGCACATGGAAGCAATCTCCGAGCAAGGAAATTTCTATGCATAGTACATTTTCTGGAACAACATCATATATGCCACTCGAAGGACGTGGTGATCATACTGTTCCAGTAAACTTTCGGAATCACGAATCCCCTTTGCGAAGAAGCATTGCGGGTTTTCAATGCAAGCGTTCCCAGTAAAAGGAAGTAGGTTCATTTTACTAGATATGCATTCAGGCCATTTCAATAGCGTGACGTTAAGTGCTTTCTAATGTTTATTTTGCAATTTCAGACATCCAATTCAAAATCCACGCACAATTGGCTAGTAAGCTAACTGAAACAATTTTTTCAAGTCCTGCTAACATGGACAGATGTGAAGGCGAGTTGTTCCAATAACAATGTTTACAATTATTCAAGATATAAGTGCTAATATTTGGCAAGAGGTAGAACCGATGAATAATCGGACGAGAAATAGTCTTCCCCGTATGAGAAGATAAGTTGAAAGCAGTGGACCGGTGCACAAAACCAACAGAAGAACTTAGTCACTAGATCAACGCTCCAGGAAAATGAAACAAAAGAAGCGAAATTCAATTGATGTGCGAAGCAGTATAATGATAGAAATTCAGAACATAGAACCTTTATCTTTCAATTTCACTTTAAGCGCATAGAACCAGTGATTTATTGGATAATATACTCGCGATGAAGAAATTCAGCTCCATCCCAACATACGCGCACCGAGAAAAGGCAGAAATTTAGTCGAGATAAAACTTCGCTAATAGAGGAGAGGCCAATACGCAGATTAAATAGCTATTTAAAAATGGAAAGTATTCGCTGTCAGTATCCCATACTACAAAGGCTTATTAGGAAGGGGGTACTATAAATAATGTTCCCACTACATCCAAGATACCATTGGACATAGGCCAACCATATAAATAACGATCATGTTTAACAAAATGAAAAGTAGTGAATGCGTGGGGAATTGAAAATACAAGAACAATAGGTGAAAAAAATGAATTCCTTACATGGACCGGTGGTTCTGAATTGCGAGGGCAAATCCTACCAGATATGGTGCAGGGGCCATGGGGTGTACCAAAGAGAGTTAAGTTATGCATATCCCTTACAGTAGTTTTGGCAGCGAAGTGTTGGACCAGGATGAAGCGTCTGAACTCACTTGTGTTAAGGCCACGGCTGAACTTACAATAGAACGGTCCAAAGGTTTCTAGTTCGCAGGGGTCTTCCGAAAAGAAACACGTGAGTAAGGTTCCCAGAAGTATATGTGCTCCCATTTCAAAATTGACACACAAAATTACTCAAGGTGGCGAGGTGAATTCTCCACGGGTTTCGGGAGGACGCGCCTAGCTAGTAAAAGACATTTCCAGAGTAAACATTGATCTCTGCTCTTGGAGTTAAGCATCAAGAACAACTTACACAATCAGATTTCATTGGATCAAATGTACACTGATGAAGACAGAGAGAAGTGTATCTTTTATCTCTATCCGCATTTTTTTAAAATAAATATTCATCTGAAGATAATAATCTCTAACTGAATTTTTGGTTTTTACCTACTTTTTTTTCCTATTCATGTTTAGACCACTTAAAATTATGCAATGGAATTGCAAAAGTATCATTCCAAAAATCACTGAATTTTTCAAAACTAGTTTAGGAGCAGATATAATTATTTTACATGAAACGTGGTTGTCCAGAACAATTTTGTTGATTTTAAAGGCTTCTACGCCAAATTTGATATAATAAATTAATATGGCGCTGGTTTGGCCATCATTGTTAGGAAAGGATCAGTCTGCATTCTGGTTGATTTGAAATTCAATTCCAAATCTTTAGAAGTTTGTCTTGATGTGGTATCTCTATTGGTGGTTGCTTGCCACAGATCTTCCACCATACGATTTTAATAAATCAGAATGGGTTTTCTTTATTAATGAAGTTTTCAAACATGAGAACTTTGTCATAGGAGATTTTAATTCACATTATGTTCCTGGGGTAGAATGAGAAACTGTCCAAATGGTGAAATTACTTTTGACAACGATGATCCTGAGGTTATGTTCCTACTCAATAACAGTTCTCAATGCCTTCTCCTACGTGCGTGGCGATGGTGTAACGGTTAGCGTATAGGACTATTATACCCAAGTTGGAGGGTTCAAACCCGATCGAAGCCGTGGATTTTTAAGGGCGAAAAAATGGAAATAAAGCCAGATGTCCCATGTTGGTAAATTTACTTGCATGTAAAAGATCATCAAGCCTAAATGACGCCTCTGAGCTAAATTCAAAATCGTCTGTTTCTCGCTCAAGAATTGCTGGTTGGGTTTCTCCGCTAGTTGGTAAAAGCGTAGCGACATTTGCGTTCTTTTAAATTCTAATGTAATTCACAGATATGAAGTACTAACTGAGATTATTCATGAAGCTATTATATCCTCTACACCAAATGCAGAGAACAATTACTTCTCTACATCACAATGACCAAAACGCAATCCCTGTCCACGGTGAAATAAAAACTGCGAACAAACTATTAAAGATAGAAAACTTGCAGTCCTTCGCAAATCTTTCAACAAACAAAACTTAGTAAATTTTAAAAATGGCAGCAAATGCTTGATTCATTATTCAAGATGAGAAATCTAAAAACTTGAAACTATTTTGTAATTCATTTAATAGAAATAGTCACATATCATACATCTGGGACAGGATAAAAAGTTTCAAAAATAAACTTAGTATATCTTCTAATATTTCAGATTTTAATTCAGGGAAAACACTTGAAGACGAAAGTTGGGATTAATAAAATCAGCCCAGACTTACTTAACGATAACTGCCCTAAGCTTTTGACAAGTGAAACTAAAGAATTTCTGAATAGTCCATTTGCATACATTGAGTTAACTAATGCCTTCAACAATGTAAATACTAAATCATCACCATGTATGGACGTTTTGAAGTTTTAAAACGATTATCAGCAAAATGGTCATCTATGATGATATTTTTGAAAATACAAATTACTTCTTATTCCAAGGAAAATAACAAAGGTGTATGTCCTATCTGTCATCATGTCTGCTTAAAGAGATCGGTTATCGGTAGATTAGTAGGGTGGCTTCAGCATAACCAACTACTTAGCAAATGTCAATTTTGCTTTCAAAAGATGAAATCCTGTATTGAGAGCTTGTCTATCCTAGTTTCTGAGATTGATCATCAATTTGATAAAAAAAATAGATCTACCTACATTGTTTTTAGATATCAAAGGGTTTTTTGATTGTGTTCATCATTCAGTATTAATTCAGGATCTGATTGAAATAGGTATTTCAAAAAACTTCATTCACTTAATTTTTAATTCATTATCTGAAAGACACCTAGATTTTATAAATTATCCATTTACTCCAAAGAATAATATAGCTTACTAGTCTTCCTCAAGGCAGTATTCTGAGCCCTCTCCTTTTTTCTATTTACACTAACAAACTGGAAAGTTTATTACCAAGTGATGAGTTCGTTAAAATATGCAGACAATATTGCTTTATATTCAGTAACAGAGCCAGTGGAAGATGCCATCAATATTCTAGAGGATGCTGTAGAATCATTGAGGCAGTTTTTAGAAAAGAGAAACCTCTTAGCATCAGAAAAATGTAAGTTTGTTGTATTTAGCAAGAGCTATTTAAAAGCTCATAAATTTATATTTATGTCAATGGCATAATTGTTCATAGTTCTCTTCCAGCTGTTTCCTTGACATGACCCTAGATTACTTGCAGTGGAGAGAACGCGTATCTAGTCTCCTAAAAAAAATGTGATATGGGCCTTCGAATTATGGGCTTTCTATGTGGAACTTGGTGGGAAGCAGACCCTTGTACTCTGTTGCTAATTTTCAGAGCACTGATTCACTCACAGATCGAACATGTAGGCTTTTTGCTTGTTATTTGGGCAAATAATAGTAGGGTAAATTTAGAAAGATTACAACATAAGTCATTAAGGATTACACTAAGCTACAGAAAATCCACACCACCCAATGTAATCCTTGCAGAATCAGGGGAACGTCTCCTGAAAACAAAACTAACTCTTGTGTATGTATTACTTGA